CCAATCCACCCCGGACTCTCGCTCCCCCAACCTCTTTCCTGCTGCGCCCCTCGCTCCAGTGCAGCCGGGACCCTGAACCCGGAGGCCAGCCCCACCGAGGATGCCCTCCCTTCCAGCCATCGCCTTGCTCCGGGCGGAATGCGTGGAGCCTAGCACCTCGCACGCCAGGGATGGGTGGGGGGCGCGTGAATTCCCCCGGGGTCCCTGCTAGCTCCTGGAGGCGGGTATTCAGAAACATCTCTGGTCTCTTAACTCCCTTGGTACCTCATGCAGACACAGCACCTAAGGTTGCCAGACTTAGGCAGAAACTGGGGATCAGAAAACTCGTGTCCACCTAGGGTGCCTCAGTGGACAGGACAATCAGGGGATTCCCCCAACCTCCCAGGGGCTTGGCGGTCCTCCTCCTTCGTCACTCCTCGCCTCTGCAAACCTCCCTCTTGGCTCTACAAAGGATCCCTGTGTGTGGCCTGCAGAGAGAGTGGGCGAGGGGAGTGAGGGAGCGCTGTGAAGGCTTGTGTGTAGGGTGGACGTCGTGATTGAGGGGGTAGAGTCTCTGGGTCCCCCGGCTGAGACATGCTTGCCAGTGGACTTTCCTGAGTTCTCTCCCAATAACCACTACCCATCCGCATCTCCCAGCTCTCTCACTTCCGCTAGCAGAGGGGAAGCACTAGATTCCCAGTTAGATCCTTTGATACCATACTGAAAGCCAGGCCCTTCCCCCTTAAGGGATGGTAGGTAGAGAGACTCTCCCAGGGCCTCTATGGCTTGGCGGCTCGGCTCGTGGTATGTGAATGAACAAAGGGCGGGATAGACTAGTTGAGAAGTTTCAGCCTCATTCAGCCCCACTAGCCTCCGGCATTCTCCACCGTGCAGAGATGTAAATGTGGGCAGAGTCACTGCAGAAGACGCCTTGCTTTTCTCTTAGGCACCCTGAAGGCTAGTACCAGGGTGGGCTCTTCCAAAGGGTTCTATGCTTTGAGGAGGCGACCGGAAAGTCGTAGTCCCCAGAGAGGAGTGTGAAGCCATGTGCTTCTGCGACTGAGGGGATGACGCTTTGGAAAAGTCCTAACAGTGGATGCAGTTCTTCAGAGGCTGGGAGGGGGGAGGATGTGCCCGAGACTTTGGGCTCTAGGTGTAGCTGCAGAAGAGGAGGCGCAATGCCCAGGTGACCAGTTTCTATCCCACCCATCTACCCCCGCCCCCCTCTGAACTTCAGCTAGACCCTTTTCTCAGTATGTTGGACCCGCTGGACCTGCTGTATCTGGACAAGGAGAAGGTTGTTTATCTTAAAAGAGAGAATTCACTGATCCACACTGGCTAATAAATCGAAAGCGCGGAAACCCAGCGATCATCTTCCAAGAAATTAAGAGCCGGGGCAGGACTTCTTGTCCATAGAGGGGTTCTGGGGTCACTGAGACTCTTTCCAGAGACCTTATGATTAACGCCTGGTCTCTGGGAGAGTGAGATTTTGCTACCCCCTGGTGTCCACTCCGTGAATGCTGCCCAGTGGCCTGTTACAGATGTCAGCACTCAGGAGAAACTATAGCCTTTTAAACAAATGTTGTTGGCAAAATTGGAAAATTATCTGCAGAAAACTCAGGCAAGAGCCACACCTCACTCCATACACAAAAACTAACTCAAAGTGGACCATGGACCTAGGACTAAAACCAAGGACCATAAACTTCATTAAAGAAAAGCTTGGAAGAACTCTAGAAGTCCTAATCCACAACATAAACGGTCTTCCAAGCATCCTGAAAAATCTACAACCAGTAGAGGATAAAATAGATGAATGAGACCTTCTAATAATCAAATCCCTATGCACATCCAGAAACTTCTCCAACAGGGTAAAAAGAGAAGCCACAGACTGGGGGAAAATATTTAGCAATGACGTGTCAGATAAGGGACTTATATCTACAAGTTATAAATACTTGAGCACCACAACAAGATAGAGGTAAACAACCCAACTGAAAAATGGGCACAGGATATGAACAGACACTTCACCAAAGAAGATATTCAGATGGCAAACAAGCACATGAAGAAATATTAAAAATCCCTAGCTCTACGAGAAATGCAAGTCAAAACATCTATATCATCTCACTCCAGTAAGAATAGCAAAATTTAACAGACCAGCAAACAACAAATGCTTGTGAAGTTGTGGAGAAACTGTAATCCTTATTCACTGTAGGTGGGAGTGTAAAATGGTGTAACCACTATGGAAGGCTGTATGGCACTTTCTCAAGAAGTTG